ACCAATGGGACACTTCCCTTTTAAAGTGTCATCTGTTTCTTTAGAGTGTAGGTCCTTTTAAAAACTGCCCATTTTTATTATGGTTTTAACTGGATTTTGGTTGGGAGTGAAAGGAAATGTCTATGTTCAAATGTCATCCTGATATGGAATCCTTGTTAATTTATTCCAGATATAATTTTTAAATTTAATTTTAATTACTGTTTTATTTTATGGTAAACTATGGATCTCTACATAGAGACTATTCGAAGTATTGTATTTTTTGAAAGATAAAATATTAGGATATTTGTTTTGATTACATGTATTTAGAACTTATTAGCCAATTAAGAAACTTGACAAATTGGTTCTTGAGGATAGTAATTCATTTTATGTAGGGATGTTATAGTGATTCTTCCTATTTTATAGATATTGAAATCATTTATCTGGTATAATAGGACATCTTGCTGTCCATTTATTGCTTATATATTGTGTGTTCTAGAGTGCCACATTTTTTATCAAATGTTTCTTTGCTTATGATATATCTCCAAATTGGCTTTCGTACTCTAGAGATTTTTAGAGTGATTTATCAGAAACGTATTTATTCAAAGAATAAGGACAAATTAACATCTTAAATTTTAGTGTAGTTTCTTTGACCGTTTTTGTTTGGTCAAGGTAGGAAATCTCTTAACTCTGATTTGTTATTTTTTTCTTGATGGAGATTCTTCAAATATGTAATTTAAGTTACTTAATGAAGTAAATGGGGTTTTTCATATGTCTAGGATGTGAGTTTTACTCAAAATTGTGTAAAGTAATTCTCATGACAGCTAAGAAGTCAGCAGCTTAATTCATTTTAATCTGCGCTGTGTGGTCCTTTATAACAGCCTTGAATAACGTTCTTTTGCCTGTGTTTTCGTTTGCTGTCTTTTACCCATGTATTCTCTCCAGAGTCAATTTTTTGCTTCTTGCAGCCTATAAGCAAGATTACGAGGCCTACAACATCAGGATTAAAATAATGAACATTAAGACATTGGGCAGGGCAGGGGAGGAGTCCTGGTGGCTTATACAGTGATATTTTAAAACTCATTAATTTCTTTAAATTTGACATCATGGGTGACTTATAGATATGCTATTACTATCATAGTTCTTTGAGCCACACCAGCAACATTTATAGGAGAATATTTGAGAATGGAATGGGTTGCTTGTATGAAGACATATAGTGAATAATAAATAAGATGTTTTTGGAGGGTGGCAGACATTTGTTTTCTTTAGTGGAATCTTCGTCTTAGGGAAAACCACGAGATCTGTTTGGAGATAATTGAGTTATTTAATGAATTGGGTAAGTTGGGAAGATTAAAGTTTGGAAAAGTTGATTCTTTGGGAATGGGTGGGGCAGATAGGATTTTACAGAAGGCCTTTAATTGTAGTGTCCAGCCTTGTTATGATCACGATAGATAGAGGGATCATACTGTCTGGTTTATTTGGGACAATGCCAATTTAGGCCTGTCGTCCGTATGTTTTAGTGCCCTACTTGAGTCTCAAAAAATGCCCTTTTATTCTCCAAAGTCTTGGATCATAGGTGATATGATTTTCCTGTTAATAGCAAACTAGTGAAGGTCATGTATTTGGCTGCTGAGGGTTTTTCCGTAGAGAAGACATGAATATTTACTGAGATTATTATTTACCTCTCTATATAAAAGCAATGTATTGGAACTTGAGCAATCCTTATGCTAGCCTAAATATTTTAAAGGTCTTTCAAAATCAGAATGCTGCTCTTTAATGGATTAGCTATGGTATGGGGGAAACATATTTCATACGCTTCTGATTCAGAATTTACTCTTTCATTCAGATTAGCGCATCCCTCAGTTACTTCTTTCTCAGCGTCTGCCTCCCCCTCAAATCACTTGCCTGCTGTCTCACAGTCAGTCAGGTACTATTATGTAATCCTTACACCCAGAGAGGAAATAATTTGTTTGAGGATACCATTACATGAATAATTATTTATTTTTAACTTAATACTTCTATAGCTTTGGGTATATTAATAGCAGATACATTTCATTTTTAAGATGCAGCAAAAACATGATTTCACCAAAATTCACCTTATCTGTAACCCACAAATAGTTACATATTTTGTCCAAAAGTTTTTTTTAGTAAAAACTTTTTTAACAAAAATTTTATTTTTTAACCACTAAGAAATGAGCTTAAAGATTTTTTTTTTTAAAAGCTCTTAGAGTTTTGTTGTTAGAGTTTAAACTAACTTTTAATTTCTTTATTTTTTGTTACTCTACATTTCTACTAGCTAAGTGAAAACTAATTTCCAGAATCATATTTTGGTCTTAAACAATTTAGAACAATTAATCATATTTTGGTCTTAAACAATTTAGAACAAATTTGGTCTTAAACAATTTATACACATAATTATAGTGGCCAAGGTTATCACAATAAAAGGTCTCCATTTGAAAGCTGCCTGCCCCACATCATGGTGTCAGAATGGGACCTGGGTGGCAATATAAATAGACAAAGAAAAGGAATAGAACAGAAAGTCCAGAAATATAGCTAATTACATATAAAAATCTAGTATATAATAAAAGTGATATCACTGAAGCAAAGATAGTCTTTTAAAAAATGATTTAAGTGTAAATGCATAATGATTTGGAAGAAAAAAAAAATATACCGCACCATATACAAGAGTAAACCCCAAATGGATCACAGATCTAAATGTATAAATAAACATGTTAGACATTTGAATATTGTCACACAGATCCCACAAGATCTGTTTTTCTTTTCATTAGCAATCGTTTTCCTCTTATTTCTTCAAGTCGAATAATTTCATTTGATTTATTTTCAAGTACACAGATTTTTTTCTCTGGTGTTATCAATCTGCTTTTAGTCTCATTTAGCATAATTTTAATTTTTAGATATTATGTTTTTTAGTTATAGAATTTCTATTTTTTTATTTTCTAGTTTTTCTACTGAGATTTCTTGGCTTTATATTCAGTACAAGCATAGTTATACTTACTACTTTAAAATCCTTGCTTGCTGATTCCAACATCTGGCTCATCTCAGGGTTAGTCTTTGTTGCCTATTTTGTGCAATTGGTTCACCTTTTTCATGTTTTGTTGTATATCTAATAATTTTGGATTTCATTCTGTACATGGTGGATGTCATGTTTTGAATCCTTTGGATTCTGTTATATTCCTCTGAAGAATGTTGATTTTTTTTGTTTATTCATTTGTTTTAGCAGGAGATTAACATAGTTGAATTAAAATTGTAAAAATCCTATCTCTTTGAGGGTGGTTGTAATATTAGTTGAAGTTTTTTAATCCTAAGCTATTTGGAGTCTGTCCCTTTATATGCATGATGTAGGGTTCAGCCAGAGATTTGAATAGTGTTTACGTACAGAATTTTAGCTCCCTCTTCTGACTCTTCCAGGATTCCCTTTTCCTTTTCCTTTTGCAGTGGTTGCCCTGGGTCTTTCTTCTGGTTGTCCAGGCCAGCAGTCCTAAAGTTTTCTGTTGGAGTTTTGGCTATCCTGCATGGCACAGACTTAGGCTTGCCCTCAGAAAAGAAGCTGATAAAATGGGAAATTTTCTCATTGCTGTTTCCTTTTTCCAAGTGTTGCTTGCTATAGAATTTGCCTTCTTTTGGTCATTATCCAGTGCCTTCAGATGTTTTTTATAGTTATATGTAGGATCATCAGTCTGGTAGAGGGTTTCTTGTCAGTACTGTTAAGGCAGGATCTGAACATTTTACTTTTTTAAAGCACATTGTATATCCTACTTAATACTCTTATTTATTTAATACAAAGAATAGTTAGATTAGAGTAGAGGAATAGTTTTATTGTAACAATTAGAAATAAGAAATAAGATCAAATGTGTGTGTGTGTGTATACATACATACAAAGATTGCAGGGATAAGGAAGACCCTATCTTTGAATATTAGATTCGATATATTTATATTTGTTATCTTATCTGAGGAGACTCGAATAGTCAAGACTTGATTTGAACCTCTAAGACTTTCACTTGCAAACACTTTTTGACTAAACCTTAATTTTCAGTAAAGTTGACATGTCTCTCAAGTATCTTTTTAACTGAAAGTACTTATTCATAAAGAATCATATTTAGATGCTTGCTTCACACAGTTATTAATTATTGAATCCATAACAAAAAACCAAATCCTTTTCTTTCAGACAACTTTAAAGCGTATTTTCATTTTATAATACAAAGTATACACTATATTTAATAAAATCTACTTACTACAGGTCCCGGTCAAGACCTCGTCCACGTTCCCATAGTCGAAGCAGTGAAAGGTCCAGTCACAGAAGAACCCGTAGTCGATCTCGGGATAGAGAACGACGTAAAGTCAGAGATAAGGAGAAAAGAGAAAAGGAGAAGGATAAAGGCAAGGACAAGGAATTACACAACATCAAACGTGGGTAAGTTGAACCAAATCTTAAGCAGTGATGACTTTGATTTAATGGCTATATTCAAACTAAATTTTCGTTCTCAGAGATTTTTCTTAGGTGGAAAAAAATGAATACAAGAGAGAAAGGATAAATTAAAATAGTTATCTCAAATTTTTACCGTGTGATTTGCTATTGATTGGGCCTCTTTCAATGTAGAATGGCCATTTGGTCAATATTTAGATGTGTTTGTGTGTGTTAAAGTGAGTGTATGTGTATACGAGACCCAGAATTTACTTTTTCTGGAATAGATATTAATACCGTTATTCTAGCTCTGTCCATTTGGAGGGTGAAATCTATTCATAACTGTTTATTAAATTAGAAGATGTTAAAATAAAACAAAATATCGGTTAGTATCTTAAATTACAACTTCTTGTTTGTTTTATTCAGAACTGACATTGGGGTCTTTTACTCTGTGAAGAAGTACATCTTAGAATTTATCCCCTTTTGTCAGTCTTTCAACACCTTACATATGTTCACTTTAATACTTCAGTAAAAAGTGTTTATCTTTAATATGTCAATCAGTTTTCCATGTTCAATTGAAATGCTTACCAGGATCTTAGATATATGGTTCCTTGAGATCTTGATTCTGTGAAGAATTAAGTTTGTTAAAAGATGTAGAACTCTTCTCTAATCCTTTTCCTTTCCCTATTGTCTGTGTGTTTATTTTTTATTTCTAGATTTACAGCGATATTATATAAATCTGCCTTGATCGTTGGCTTTTAAGTTTTCTTTCAAATGATAAATTTGTGGTGGATTTTGGAAGAAGATAACATTAATATGTAACTTTCCTTTTTCTGATCACCGCACGACTGTTAATACAAATTGAGCAGTTGTGATTCTGCAGAATTCTGAGTTCTGTCCAGAAAAGTTTTATAGATTGTTGAACATTAGAGGAGATAGGGTTGGATATCTGGCTATAAGGATAGGAAGGCTCAATTAGCCAGAGTTGGTAGAATTGAATGAGGATGAGAGAGGGTATTGGGGAAATCTGTTGATAAAGGGAGAAAATTGGGGGGATGATAGATTTGAAGAGAGAATGTAAAGTAGGTTTCTGAGACTGAAAAACATGGACTATAAAAGGATGAATAAATTATATCAATCAAGGAACTACCTTGTTTCTTCCTTTTTTTTTTTTCCTTCCTTTGGATTTTTACTTTAGAGATTACATGGCTGTAAGAAGTATGACCATGATTTTAACTGATCACTAAATTTTTGCTTTCTACCTCACCAACTTTAAATTTTTTAGAATACTATTTGCACAGTTATATAAAATTGATATTACATAAAGCATTACTTTGGGGTTTTTAAAGGTAAGAAAAATGAGAATATGGTTAAAAAGTGAAGGTTAGGGGGTTTTAGGAAAGATTCCCATATGGCGGCGTTAATCCCAAAGGTCTGGGCCAGCTTTACAGGTTCGACTCTTTCATCATTCAAAGTTATGTTCAAAGGGCTGATACCTGGATGACAGGTTCACAAGACATGAATGTTGTATTTGTCATTATTTTTTACGTCTCAGCAAAGACAGTGAAGAAGTAAGGGGTTGGTTGAAGGGCCCTGGGACCGATGCCAAAAAGCCTGATTCATTCATCTCTGGTATTTTAGTGGACCATGGTTACAGGGTGGTGCTACAGCAGGATGCCCTTTCTCTTGGTTTCATGCTGAAGACACGTAAATTCATACCTTTTGGTATAACCTGAAGTCAGGATTTTTTGGGATCAGTGTATACATTTCATATAGTAGTATTTCTGTATAGATGCACCCTGCTTTGCTCCAAAAATAATTTCATTTTTTAAAAAACTTTTTGTGTTTATTTCCTAAACCTGATTTTTAAGCTATTTAGGGTAGAAAATGTATCTTATACTCTTTTGTATCACTCAGTGTACCTAATGTACATTTCATTGTTCATAAATTTTTATTGGTTATTGATCAGATATGCTCATTCATTCATTTGTTCACTTGTTTAGTCAACAGTATTTAAATGCCTTTTATTTGTCAACTGCTATGTTAGGTAATAAGAACATAATGGTAGACCAGTTCTACTTGGGGATTTCACGCAAGTGGCAAGAATAAGCACATATAGAAGGGAAGATGTGTAAAGTGAAATCAAATGAATGTTTCAATAAGAAGCTTTGGAAACATCGTATGAGTTAGGATGCTTTGGCCATATATAACAAACCTAACTAACAGTAGCTTAAACCAGAGACAGCAGAGTTTTTTGTAGAGGGCTAGATAGTAAATAATTTAGGCTTTCTGGGCTATATTTCTCTGTTACAACTACTGAACTCTACCCTTTTAGCATGAAAGCAGCTATAGATTATACTAAACAAACAGCATGGCTGTGTTCCAGTAAAACTTTATTTACAAAAATAGGCAGTTGGCCAGATTTGGCCCAAGGGTTGTAGTTTGTCAACATCTGGCTTAAGCCATAAATACATTTATTGCTAATGTAACAAACAGTTTGGAGGTAAACAAACCCGGGCCCTTATTCTTGCAACAGGCCAGTCTCCATATGTTGACTTTCATTTTCAATCTTGACACATTCTGATTGAAAGAAATTTCCATGAACATTAAGTTGGTTGATCTAGACTAGTCAACATGTCAGGGAGGGGCTGTCAGAAGAGATGTTTATACATCGAACGAAGAAAGAGACAGGAAAGAATGTTGCATGCAAAATGAACTTCATATGGAAAGAAAGACTTGGAAGCAAGCAAGGTGGGAATGACATATTTGAGGAACTGAAGTCTGATGGGGTTTTGTTCATAGTAGAAGAGGAATAATGATGAGAGATGATTATTCGAAACCTTAAAATTTATGTCAAGGAGTTTGGAGTTAATTCTGAAGGCAGTGAGAAGCAAGTGAAGTTTCAAGTAGAGTAATGATATGATCAGTTCTTAATGAAGTAAGAAAATGCTTTATATTTTAAATACAACGTTTTCTAAGTATCAGGAATTTTGCTAAGCAAATGACATGTATTATTGATTTTCATAATGTTATGAAATAGGTGCTTTTATTATCCTATTTCTGTAGATGAAGGTTTGTGATCATAGAGCTGGTAAATGACAGTTAGGCTTCTAATTCAAATTCACTGACTACAGCACCTTGACTCCTTAACAGTACAAAATTCTCAAATCTGTAGGAATGTGTAATTATTGATGATGAGATATAGTGTTTGAGATCAAGTGACATACTATGCTTAAACTTTCCTAGAAAATAGCTAAAACAAATCGAAAGGATTTTCTGTGCCTTATTTTTCTCTGATCAGGACAGAAATCTATCTTTAATAGATGATTCAATTTTTCCTCCCTTTCTCTTCCTTTCTTACTTTCTTACATCAGGATCTCATCTGTTTACTTAGAATTATATTTAATTTTATTTAATAAACCCACAAAAATTTCTAGGCCTTAGAGTTAAATTTATTTCTATGATAGTTTCATTAGCTATCTCTTTCCAGATGGTTTAAAAAAAAAAAAAAGGAACATGAGTTACAAAGTAAAAACGATTCACAATTTAGTTAGGACTTGGATTTTACTTCATTATAATTGTGCAACCCAGTGATAAGTATTTTAGCTTGTGCTAAATAACCTAGATGCTTCCTCGCATAGGAGAAAACCCATGTGCATCTGGTTCTTCGTGTATAACAACCTTTGTATTTATCAACCAGTTTGAAAATATCAATTTTATACAAATATTGATGGAACATAAAGCATATATTTATGAAGTACAAAGCAAGGAGAATAACTACAATAATGGTAAAAGAGTATTTTATAAATTGGGAAAAATAAAAATAGGAGAGGAAGGAATTAATGAGAAAGAGCTTTTTGATTAGACTTTTGAAAAAAAAGATGAAATTAGATAATTTTGAAAAACCTTTTTTAAATAGCAAATCAAGTTACAGTTAAATGATTATAATGAGAATTGGTCTTTTAATATCATAAGTGGATCTATTTATTTTATTAATTTGCTGAATAAGAGAGACCTAATGTAAACTAGAAAGAGTTTCAGGAGTTTGTAGGTAATAAAAGATGCCTTTTCTGAGAATTCTATGTGAATGATTAATATAAGAAAAACACCAACTGAGCCTTTCTTAGGTTTTATCAAGAAGGTTTAATGACTTTAATTTTTAATGTTTTGCATTTATAAAATTTGATTTCTAAGAATATTTTATCTTTAAACACTGACACAGATTTTTTTTGTTTTTATTAATTTTCCCTCCAAAATTTAAAATCTTAAATATTTATCATATCGTTAGATAATTGTATTTTATGGGGACATGTCTTCGCAATACGAAAATGAAATATTATTAATAATAGTTATTAAGTTGAAATTGGAACTTAACAGTGTTATTTTGTTAAGCAATTTTTTTTTTTTTACGCCTATAGCACCCGGTCTTCCTAGGTGGTCTCCCATCCAAGTACTAACCAGGTTGACCCTGCTTAGCTTCCGAGATAAGACAAGATCGGAAGTATTCAGGGTGACATGGCCATAGACTGACTGTTAAGCAAATTTTTGAGTCCAATATTAGAAATATGAAATTTGTCATGGCATCTCATATTTGCAACATAATTGGTTATAAACATTGTATACCCCATCTTTGTCTTTTGTGGATTATTATTGGGCCTTCTTTAGCAATGTTTTGATGAAATTTCATAAAGGGTAGTTGATTACTACAAAACATCTTTTAGAGACTTCTTTGAATAATTAGTTGTGAATAAATATGTCAGTACCACCAGTGACATTCTGCTATTTATTTTGAATTATAGAGCCATCTTCAAGAGTAGAATTAGGATGGATTTGCTTTAAATTAATTTTCAATCATGATTTAAATCACCAGCGAGGAAAATCTGGTTTAAAACAGTGATTGCCTAGTAAAATGCTTTCTTAATTTAAGTAACTTTAGGATTCATGAGGAACCTAATTTAGTATTCTTAAGCATTTTCTCCTTTATGACTTGCCTCTGTGAAGGGTTTTTA